GGGGGGTGGTGAGAAGAAAACGGTAGAGGTGGTTAAGGAAGCCGAACAGGCAGCCTGGCTTCCTTGACTGTCTTGGTATTTTCTGTTGCCATCATAAAACACTTACCTGGAGAGGAAAGAAAGAGGTTATTTCATCTCACAGGTTACAATCCATTATCAAAGGAAGCCAGGGAAGAAGCTATGATGAATCTCCTGTAGCTCTAGGTGGAAAAAAAACCAAACCCTGACTTTTTGCTTGGCTCCATCTCTATCATTCATCATTTGAATAATACTCACTTTGACTTCCTTCCTTCTCAAGATTGACCTGTTTAGTGACAACAGAAGCTGTCACTTGGCCAGCACTACTAGGAAAGACTTCTGCACTGTGAGGACACACCGGCTGAGCTTGACTCTAACCTGACCTCCTTCTTACTCACTATGACTGTGAACTGGTGACCCCAGTCCTGGAGCCTCAGCTTCTCCTTACTCATTGACATCATTCATTAGAAGTCACAGCAAGGTGACACAGTGATTTCAAATAGCATGTCCATCCGGGAAGCTTACTCCGCACATGTGTAGAGCTGCCCTCCTTCTGACGCTTCAGGATCTAGAACAGTTCACGTGTCATGGCTACTAAAGAGAAGCCAGTTAGAAGGGCTAAAAGGCTCCACACATCAGCTTAAAAATTGCACTCACCAGATAAGGAAGAGGTTTATGTGGACATCTGTCAGATTGCCCACCTACATGGTCTAGGAACCACAACCACCTTGGACACATGAGGCTTTGAGATGCTTACCCCGATGCCCCTGAACAATCAGCAGGAAGCAAAACAAAAGCAGCCTTGCTCTACACAGTTGCACTCCACAAACACTGGTGCAGGGTGAAGATAAAGGAGGTTGCCAGTTTGGGTGTGCAGCCCTACTGTACAAATGTCCCCATGGTCAAGGACTATCAGCTCCTGATGAAACTCCCCCCACACCACACCATCCTCAGACCCACACCTGACTAGGGTGATGTCTAGTAGCTGATTTCCTGCACAAGATGGAAGATTAGGAGTGTCATGGGGCATCTTTCTGTATGCTGTAGCAATAAATAAAGCTTCATTGGCCTATGGCAGGGCAGGTTGGAGCCAGGTGAGAAAATCCAAGAGAGATAGTGAGGGGAATAAGGAGAGTGGGGAGGTCTAAGGAGCAACATGTAATGGGATGCAGGTAAAGCCATGGAACACGTGGCAATACACAGATTAATAGTTATGAGTTAAGTTGTAAGAGCTAGCTAACAAGAAGCCTGACCCATAGGCCATACAGTTTGTAAATAATCTAAGCCTCTGTGTGTTTACTTGGGACCAAGTGGCTGTGGGATGCAGATGCGAGAGATTCGTCCCAACTGCGGGGCAGGCAGGACCAGAGAAACTTCTGGCTACACAGGAGTCTTTGCTACTAGACTCTGACTCACCCAGGAGAAACTGGACAGCTCCTAGGTACAGCTTTGGGCCAGGATAGGGTCTCTTAAGGCAGTGCCAAATGTGGCCAATACCACAAATTCAACTGATGGATGGTTCTCATGCCCCATTTCCCTGCAGCCTCCCTGGTGCTCCTGCCTTGCTGGCTTTCTTCCCTTGCCTTTACGGACTTCCCAGTTGCTTAAAGCACTACGCTTCTATGATGCACAGAAGGCCAACTCCAATTGATGGGGTGGGAGCAAAGATGCAGCATCTCAAATCATGACATCATAGTCACGTGTACTTGTGTTTAGACTGGGGAGATGCAGACCTGTGTACTTGTGTTTAGACTTGGTAGATGCAGACTTGAACAGAGGTCTTGGGGTCCTTGCTCAGGACAATGGACCCGGGTCTGTGTGTTGTAATAGGAGTTACTACTTCTACTTGAACTACTACTATTTGAACTTATTTTTTCTTTTGAGATGAGAGATCTCAATGTAGTTTAGGCTGGCCTCAAAAATCACTATCTGAGCCCTTCTGATCCCCCTGCATTTATCTCTGGAGTTCTGGGATTACAGGTATGCACCATCACATCCAGTTTTTTATATAGTGCAGGAGCCTGAACCCAGCACTTCTTATGTGCTGGGAAAACACTCTGCCAGCAGAGTTATATCCACAGCCTTCACCTGTTATTTCTCATAGCAGCTGCTCGCTCACTGTAGGAAGGGTGGGTGTGTAGGGAAGACCCTGGACCAAACCCAATAGAGGTGTGACTCAGACTTCAGTCAGCAAGACAGCTGAGGTGAGAGGAGCCAAGCCTATGATTTTGACAATGCGGGTCAAGAAACTAAGGGGTCTTCAAGATGCCTCGATTCAAGGGAAGCCCCACCCTCACCCTCATCCCACCCCCACCTTATCTTAAGTTTGCTTTTGGTTTTTGTGCAACAAGTAAGTTTTAGCTCAGGGAAAAAAAACGTATTAACCTAGAGGGAGAGTATCTGTATATTCTCCTCCCCATGTGCCCTTTTATTCTAAACCTAGCAGCTGTTCAAAGACCTCCTAGAACTATACACAGCACTGAACCTTTTCATACATATAAATTTAATTTATAAATCAATTTAGTAAGATTCTAACTGTAACTACTGAAATAGAAGTTATAAGAGGAATTACACATATATGTTATAAACATAGTTATATTCATATATATTCACAATATATGATTGCTATCACCTATTTCAGCCATGGTACCCTATATTTGTGTGTGTGTGTGTGTGTGTGTGAAGAGTCAACATTAGCATCAGACTGATAAGTCAATCCAAAGGTGGTTGGTACAAGTTCAAAATTTTAATGGCTGTTAAATAATAAAAAGTTTGCACTATATACATTCTGTCTACTTATCATACGGTCAGCCAGCCATGCACATTTCATTGCACAGATAAACAGTGTACAAGCATCTTGAAGACATCTTATCCATACAAGAATTGCATTTAAAAAAAAAACATTTTACAAAATACTGAAGCCATTTGTATGATACAGCCAATTTCAAGAAAATTGTGGAAATTAATATCAAAAGAAATCTTTTAATTTTGAAAAAAAATATCCAAAAGTAATGATTATGGAGCTTCATGTCGTCAGAGATACATGTAAAAATATATTTCAGGACGCGGCGCCGCAATGCCGCGAAGGTGCGGCCTTCTAAACCCTTGTGTAGATCGGCTCCGAATGCTGCTCCAGTTGAGTACACTCTGTTAAAAATCCTCCCATCTTTACATTGTTATGCCATTTGACAAAACAGGTATTTGTGCAGTACAGAAAAGTAGTAAAATATATTTATGTTAAAGTGCACAGTACATTTGATAGGAAGTAACCTACTAGCTGCCTGTCTGAATCCCCATGTTCAGATCCCCTCCATCCTTCCTGGTGGAGGGTCAGTCTCTGTTGAATGCACTCACTCATCCTATAGTCTCTTGTATCTACCTTGAAGGTCCCTCACTGTGGCTACTGTCACTCTAGAAACTGCCAATGGCTTTGTACAGAGGTGAAAGTGCAGTCAGTATTCACAGGCTTTTGACAGACGAATGACTCGGGTACCCATACATACCGACAGTTTGAGTGTGCGTGGGTGTGACTGCCCGGCATAGTCCTGCGAAGCCTTCGGTGAAGCTCTCCCACCGACAGCATGGGACGGGCTCCTCTCCTGGGCTGGCTCCTTTCTAGTGCCAGTGTGCTTGTCTTTGCTCCCCCCGGCTGCTCCCACACTCTACTTACTCCACCTTCACTCAGTCTGCTTGGCTGCACATGTAGCTCCCACCAGAGGCCCCATGACCCACTCACATCCCAAGTTTCATACCAGGCACTATGAAGCTTCCAAGTCTGGACTCTTTAAAAAGCACCAGCTCGATTACAATAAAAACAAACGCGTCTACATTTCGGAATCTCTCGCTCTTTGAAATGCCGGCAGTCGTAACAAGTACTGGTGTCCTGAATCAAGCTCTATAACCCTTTTAGTTAGACAGTCACCTTCCATCATCTCCATTTTCTCATTCATTTCTTCAACATCTACCTTTGGTGCTAGATGCTCCTCAATTACCCAAAATACAGTGCAAAATTATACTTCAAGATATATACTGAACACTTCCCACTTCTCTGTGTTAAAATGTGAATGTTTTGTGCATAGCAAAAGAAACATGAGTCAAAAAAAAAAAACCTGTTCACATTTCATCTTCAAGTTTAATATGTCTTTTTTTTTCCACATAGCTATTTACAAGTAACTTTGGGGTGCTCTCTTGATTTCAGTCAGTTCATTATAATATGGGACAAGAGGGCTGCTGGAATGTAGGAAACTGGATGGAATGCAGAAATATAAATAAGAACGATGTTCCTCAAATCAAAAGGTGGATATCACCTCCCCAGAAAACAGCTCTCTGTCACAGAAGCATGTGTTTCTTGTTTAATTTTTTTTTCTTCTGAATCATATACACCAGGAAATAGGAACACTGAGACCTGGAACTCCTACACGCCCAAGAGGCTCGAAAATAACTCAGTATTTATAATATTAAAATAAATTGCTTAACCACAAAAAAGCAGTAATAAAATAGTTTCCTAATTTACAATTTGCATCCAAAGGATGAATAACAACTCACTAATAAATAATATTTATATAAATATTTTGTATGTTGAAAATAGTTTCTCAAAAAAGGCAATGGTCTCAAGAAACATCTTGAAAAAATTTGGTGGCAAAAAAACCTGATTGCATTCCCCCTCCCCCCCACTGATTCTGCAAGAAGTTTGGTTTTGATAAGACGGACGCGACTCACTGTGAAACGGCTTGTGCTTGGCATTTGGTAATGGCAGTCGGTGAGTGTGGAAGGGATGAAGGAGGTTGAAAAGGCAATGATGTGCTACTCAGTTCTCTGCCAGCTCCCTCACTGGCTGTCAGATAATACCCGTCCAACCTGAACCCTGGAGGCCAACTCTAAAAGGTCCTGAATCCTCCCATAGGCTGAAACCCTGTCAACGTAGCTTGTCAGGGAACTGGCAGGTGGTGAGTGGGGGAGTCGGTGCAGGTGCCAGGAGCAGAGTCGGGAGCCCCTGCTCTGGGTAGAGTCTGAGCCCACCCAGGGGAGAGGGCTTGGTCTCATGTGAACAGAGCTTTGGTGACGGTGACGTCCAACAGCGCTTGAACGGTCATGCCCACTTTGACCAGGCCTTTCTCTTCGAGGATGTGATGAGGCAGACAGAGCTTTTCCTAAAAGGAAGAACAAAACATCAGCGTTCAGATGACGGGTCAAGGACAGTGAACCCTCGCTACATCATGCACGGGAGTTGGGTTGCGCATGGCTGTGCCGCTTACTTCCCCTGGCTTGTGCTCCCTCCCCTGGTGACAAGCCATGGCCGAAGCCCTTTCTGGGTTTGCAGAGAAAATGATTTCTCATGTGTGAAGGTTGTTCCAGAAAGGTTCTTAATCACACCCAACTCTGTATTAGATCTAAACATGCAGGAAAACTTTTCACTAAATAACTGAGTGGCACGGAGTAAACACACACACAACACACACACACACACACACACACACACAGAGAGAGAGACAGAGAGAGAGAGAGAGACAGAGAGAGACAGAGAGAGACAGAGACAGAGACACAGAGAGAGAGAGAGACAGAGAGAGAGAACATCATAGCTTCCAGTCTTGGCAAGCAACGTTGCAAGAAACTCCTCGTATTTTAAAGGAACTCAATGACTCATTTACACAGACTATAGATAGTTATAATGGTCAGCAGCCTTGATTTAATTCATTTTGTCCTGTGATTTCTAGAGGGTGAACATGGTGGGTGACTTCTTTTGTGTGGTTTAGGCACAGTCTATAGGAAAGGAATCTTTTTTTTTTAAGATTTTTTTTTTTGAAAGACAATTTCTATTTCATGTGCATGAGTGTTTTGGCTGCATGTATGTCTATGCATCATATGCATGTCTGGTGCCTGTAAGTCAGAAGAGACAGTAAATTCCCCAGAACTGGGGTTATAGACAGTTTTGAGCTAGCATGTGGGTGCTGGGACCCAAATCCAGTTCCTCTACAAAAGCAGAAAGTGCTCTTAACCCCTGAGCCATCTCTCTAGTACCCCAATGTTTGGTTTGTCTGGGTTTTTAATCTTTAGCCTTATGCATGCCTGTGTCTGTGTGGGAGTATGTACACATGAATGTGTTGTCCATGGAGGCTGGGAGAGGAGCTGGAGTTACAGGCCTGATGTGGTGACTGAATTGAATTTGGGTCCTCTGCTAGAGCAGTACCCGCTCTGAACTACCAAGCCATCCCTCCAGCCTCTACATAAGGCATCTAACAGAGCTCCCAATGACCCCTCCTTTAAAGTCCTTTCCTTTAAACTTGCAAAGACATCCATCACATCCTACTTCCACGTGTGGGAAATGCCTGATGCCCAGTACTAAGGAAAATGACCTAGAGCTCTCCTTGTGGGCACCAACTGTCATACACTACAAAGCAGCTTACACAATAACATGAAAAGACATTTGCACCTTTGTTATTGGCCCTGTTCCACTACCACACAGGGCATTCTCCTTCTACTATACCTCCTTTGGTGGGAAAAGACCCCACAACTCTTACATCTGATGATGGCAGCCCAAGGGTCCGTCTTCCTGTCTCTTTCTTTTCTATATAACTGAATTTCTGTATTCTTTCCCAATGTCTCTAGAACATCCTTCTCCAACCGCTGGTAATTTCTATGAAATTGGTTTTCTTTTCTTTTCTCTCTCTCTCTCTCTCTCTCTCTCTCTCTCTCTCTCTCTCTCTCTCTCTCTCTCTCTCTCTCCTCCCCCCTCACCCCCTTCTGTGACCCTCTAAGTGAGATCATGTGATGTTTGTTTTTCTGTGTCTGCCTTGTTTAACTTAATAGTGTCCTCCAGAGTCCTGTATGTTGCCACTATCCAGGGAATTTTTTTTGGAAGGCTGAGCAGCACTATTGCTGAGCAGAGTTTAAATGGGATCTGCATTTGGGTGCAGGTAGTGGAGTGTGTTTATTAGCAGCAAGCCCAGTCCTGGGAACAAGACTACTTTCTTCATGTAACTTGAAGAATCAGATCTTCCTGACAATGTCTGACTGCAGACTCCCTACAAATCACCACAGACACAGGCAAGGCACTGTGAGCATAGATCTTCAAAGGTATGCCCTAGTAACTCCAGAAACTGCTCCCACATTCTCAAAAAGCCAGTGTGTCCTGCATTCTGTGTCCCCTCTTCTCTCTAGTTCATACACCTTGACTAAGTAAGAGAGGCTTGGCCAGGCGGTGGTGGTGCACGCCTTTAATCCCAGCACTCGGGAGGCAGAGGCAGGTGGATCTCTGTGAGTTCGAGGCCAGCCTGATCTACAGAGCGAGTTCCAGGACAGCCAGGGCTCATACACAGAGAAGCCCAGTATTGGGGGGAGGGGGGGTTGGACCCCAGGCCTTAGGAAATAGCCACATGTGGCAACGTAAGAACAATTTTGCCATGCCTTCAAGTACTTGTGGAGAGTCAAACAGGATGATCTTCTCTGTACCATATTAGGCAAGCATGTGAGTTTACACTGCCAGTCAACCTAACGGCCAGATGTCAAGGGAAGAAAGGATGGAGGTCATGTGTGAGTCATGACCCGGGTTGGGAGGAATGGTGACTCAGGGCATCTGTAACGAGATGGCAGTACCCATCCTTTTCTGTACAGGCCAGGAAATCTGTAGGCTCCATTGTTCCTCTGCCACAGCTGGCTAAAGGGCAGGGGTATGTCCTTCTCATCCTTGACCTTCCCAGCACCCAAGTTCACCTCTGACCCAGCAGGAAATCATAAACACTTATTACAGCTAAACTTCTGGTGTCCGGCATTATTTTGGAAAGGCGGGTGGGGGGGGGGATATATGTGTATGTGAACATTTTATACCATAGGCTAAAATCAATTTAAAATTATCAGAGTTAAATGTTTAAAAAGAAAAAACTCTAAAGGCCTTTGAGTAAAAGGAAATAAATAAATAAATCTATTTATTTATTTGTTTGTTTGTTGTATGTGTGCCTGCATGAATTTATATGTACCATATGTGTGCACAGGCACACAGATACCAGGAAATCTAGTTGGACTCCCTGGAATTAGAGTTACAGGGGGATGTGAGCCAACCCAGGTCCACAAGAGCAGTCTTACCCAGGCAGGGTCAGACTCCAGGCCTATAAAGACATGTTTACAAAGTGCAAAGAAAAGATCAAAACAGTATAAACTTAAAAATGTGACATTTCCATTTGAAAAGTGAAAAAAAAAATCCTGGGGATTTAGCTCAGTGGTACAGCACTTGCCTAGCAAGCTCAAGGCCCTGGGTTCAGTCCTCAGCTCTGGAAAAAAAAAAAAATCCTGCTTAATGAAATGGTAAACAAACAAAAATAGCCTCTGTAAAAATGCGCATTTGCACCAGATTACAAAGGACTTTGTGTGATACAAGTTCAACCAGATTACAGAGAGATCACTAGGTACATAGAAAGGTGGCAGAGCATGTTTGGAATCCAGAACCTAGGAGGTGGAGTCAGGAGCACCAGATGTTTAAAGCCTGCTACCTGAAACTCTCTCAATCAGTAAGATCTCCTAACAGCCTTGTTTAAGACAGTGGCAGGACATTTAATTCTCAACACAACCTACCTACATCATGGCTTGGCCTGGCCCAGCGTCTACCACACAAAGGCTCAGAGCAGTTACATTAGCTTACAGTTGGGCAAAACTATCTAACACAAATCTTATTCTATACCTGCATAGAAGATAGATTCTTCTATGAATAGCTCATGTAGTTTATTGAGTCCTATACTGAAAAGTGAAAAATAAAAGTTTTTTTTTTTTTGAATGGCACCATCATATGTGTGGAAAATCCTAACTGAATATCATTATGTTAGGGACCATCTGTAAACACAAATAGAAACATGTCCCTCATAATCCTCCTTTTTCTTTTCATTCAGGCCCACCCAGAGGTGGCCTCAGAGCATAGCTTGGAGTTATCTAAGAAAACTAGCCTAGAAGGCCAGAAACCATATAAAGTTTACATAAACTTTATAAACCATATAAAGATCGAGCAGTCCTGGGAATTCCACCACAGGCCTGGAAAGGACACGGGATCTAACTCCAGGTGCTGTTTGGAAAGATAAATACAGAGATCCTGCAGAAATGGAGAGCAGGGTCAACCAACTTGTAGACAGAGGCCACTTTCCATCACAACGGTCATGTCCCTGCATCTCCCCAAAGTGAGATGGAACAAGGAATGGGCTTGGAGTTGCTGTGGATTGACACTGGGACCAGGGTGGCAGAGAGGAGCAAGGGCTTCAAAGAGCCAGGCAGGTCAGGTGCCACCTCCGGAGACCCCCCGTAGAAAACGGACTTAAAGCAGAAAAGACTGTGCGTGGTTACTGACTTCACATGAACTAAAACCGTCCTGCCGCAGGTTATCAGAGGACTTGTTGAAAATGTGACAGAGGAGGCCTAGGCCACCCATGGGCATCCTGTGCTGTTATTTTTTAAACAGGGTGAAATCACAAATAATGCTTAACAGTAACCCTCGGAGGCTTTTCAGAGCAGGAGTTCCATGATACTGCCCCCCGTGGTGGAACCAATTAGGCCAGTGGTCCTCAATCTCCCTAATGCTGCGGCCCTAATTTAATACAGTTCCTCGTGTTGTTGACCCCAATAAAATTATTATCCTTGCTACTTCATAACTGTAAATTTGCTGTTATGAATTTAGCGTAAATTATTTCAGAGAGATAAGTTTGTCAAAGGGGTCTTGACCCACAGGTTGAGAATCACTAGATTAGGCTCTCTCATCCACACTCTCCTGAGCAGCAGCCAACAGGATTAGAAAGGGCAGACGAGCAATTGAGGAACAATGCTAACTGTGGGGAGGGAGTAAGGCTGGATGGCTGTGACTGGCGGCCCCGCTTTCCCTGACATGACATGCTCTTCTGATGATGATTGTATAGCCAACCCCACTTCTCGGCAGCCGCTGGTCTAATGAGGTCCTTCACACCAGCTTATTTCCCTTGGCTCAGCCGGTTTCTTGAAACGAAACATTCTGAGGCTGGATTGTGTGACGCTTAAAGCATGTGTTATTTTAATGCACGAGAATGCAAAGGTCTAGCTCTGCCCCCAGGGTCAATCTCTGGCTGCTTCTTCCTTTGTTCTTTCTGTTCCAGCCCCTTCTCACCCTATGTTATCCACACACATCCATCCCTCCACAGCTTTCCCACTCATTCCGAGCTTACCCATCTTTCTAATCTTAGTGGGGGACTTTGCTGTTTCAGGGGATCTGCATGGCGCCCCTTCATGAGTGTCAGGCCAGCTTTCAATGTGTTTCACAGAATCCTGTAATTGACCCATCCCAGGTCCTTCTCACTGAATCCCTTTGTTTTCTAAGAAGTTTCAAACTAGGACCTGCAAGGTAATCCAATTCCTGATCTATTTTTTTTTTGAATAAAGTTTTATTGGCACACAGAACTGCGCACTGGCTTATGTATTCTGTATGCTGGTATTCAATATACAGTGACATGCTGGGTAGTTGCAACAGTGACCATCAGCCTAAAAAAAAAAAATCATAAAATATGTCTGGCCCTGCCCCCCAAACGCTGAAACCTGCTGTGGACCACAAACTTTCTGAGTAGGGGGGCATGGATCTTGGGCACCATTTTATCTGCAGAGCCCTCCCCCCCCCCAGGGGCCAGTGCACAGTGCACATTCAATATTCAAAGAACAATCGAATGAACCAAGAATGCACAAGACCACAGAGAAAGCCCAGGCCCGGAAGGAAAGTGAAAGACACACATCCCACCTACCCAAAGGGCTGTACGGGGAAAGGGGGTTCTGAAGCCTCAAACCTCGCCTTTAAATGCTCTGCAAGAAAATTATATTAAAATGTTTTTTCAGGAGCTGGGACATAGCCCAGAGGTACAAAAGGCACTTAACATATGCAAGGCCTGAGGTGCACTTCCCAGCACCCAAACATTTGACCTAACCTATAACCACTGTGCCGCTCTCAGGCTCCTGAAATCTGAACTCAGACTGGGACTGGCGTGAATTTGAGGCAATCCACACACTTAAATATATATATATATATATATATATATATATATATATATATATATATATATATAACAAATAGCATTGTGATATCAAGTGTATTGATATTACTCTCACCGATAAAACTCAACTCAGCTGTCCTTCTTTGGGATTTAACAAGGTCCCTTTTCTGTAGTGTTAAGGACATTGAAGTAACATGGCCCTGAAGTCCAGAAGGAGCCATTAGAAATGGGCTGTCACAAATTTTGGAACTCCTGATACTAAAGGGAACATTTTCAACCAACAGTAGGAATGGAAGAAAGAGATATATCATAAATGGCTACTGCAAAATAAATATGTAAACAGTTGTTCCTCTTTATCAAGTATTAGGAGGGCATATTTAAAACATTCTTTCTTACAAGATGATGGGGATTTAGTATGTGGGACAAATCACACAACTGGACCCCTGACCACTTCTCAACCTCTAGGCAGATCAGTCAGGGGTCCCCAGCTGAGCTGAAATGGCAGGTGTCTCGTGTAAGTACCTGAGCTGGTGTCTGGGGCCTTGGAAACACGCCACAGAGGGGCTCAGTGTTCCCAACAGAAATTAACGGCGCGCTCACACTAAGCAAAATGACTCACTCGAAGTTTTGCCTGAAGGGCTGAATTAACTATGTTCTGCGAGTGACCATGCTTTATAATGAGAAAATATCATCGCAGCAAATCCCAAGGGGAGCAGCACATAAGGGTATAAACCAATGAGATGAGAAATGAGAAGCATAGCCAAGGGATTCTCGGGATACCAGGGGAGAAACACACAGAAAGTCAATGTTGAATATCAAATCTAATCTCATGAAATTGTTTGACTCACTGGATTTTTATTCAGAGTGTTTTTCCTTCAGCCAGCAGCTCAGAATGTTTCCTCTTTTCCTCTTCCACCCACCATAAAGCAGCAATGGAAAAAAAAAATCCAAACAAATGGCGCTAATTGAAGGAAAGTCCCCATGCTTGTGGCAGAGCTGGGTAGAAATGCCAAGAGCCACTCTGGGTACCCATGAACAAATGTATCAGCGGGCCAAGAAAAAACTTGGATGAATCACCCAAATTGTGTTTATTAAGCAATTTATGGCTCGGGGTGCTCACCAGACACTGTACAAAGGGATTTTATTGTTACAGATGGAAAAGTACAAGATAGCACCAAAGGCATTTAGTACATCTGTGGTTATTTAGACACAACTCATGTCCAACAACTTCACATACCCTGTATTCACCACTCAACACAAAACTGGGAGGAAAGGGCTCAGACCATCTAACATCTTACCATGTAAAGAAATGTTTCCTGTTCAGAAAAATTCAGGTCTGATTTAGCAGCAAGGAACCTTTATAAATATATCCTTTCAAGTATGGAGGTTTTTCAGAATCTCATCTTCCCTGGACTCATGAATAGGTTCAGAAAAATAAGATAATATTCTTAGCAGCCATATCTGAGGAATGTCTGCATGTCAGCAAACTAGAAATTTACCTTGAGGACAGTCACTCCATCATCCTCCCCACCCAAGAAGCAGCATTTGGCAAGAAGGATATAAAATGAAGCAGGCGATGGTGGCTGGAGCTTGCAGCGGGACTTCTCATATTGTAAAGAGACATCCCAGGACTCAGCAAGATCTGGCAGTACGTTAAAGTCTAATATTTTTTTTCTTTAATTAAAAACTCATCACTTTGCTCCAAAGACTGAGAGTTGATACATAAGCCTTTAAAAACTGACTTAAAAACAAAACAGGTAGGTAGTTAATATCTCTGTAACAAAGGCCAAATGGACATTCAAAGTAAATGGAGGAAAAACAGCATTCATCTAAAATAAGAGTAATCTTATCATTGGCTGCTGCCATAGTAACCCACGGCCCCAGTACCAAGAATGTTCCAAGACCCATAGATTTATTTGAGACTGAATAGTCAAAATATGTGACATATCGTAAGAGTAAAATTATGCAAAAATAGAAATTCCTTCTATAAAACACTTTTCTCAGAGCCTCAGAACAGACCTAACGAAAAGGAAAAGCGGTGTGAGCAGATCCACCAGGTGGCGCTCTAACAGAAAGGCACTTCCCCAGAATATGCCTGCAAACGGCAGAGACTGCATGCTCTGGGGGACTTGGGCGGCAACCCTTCTGAGTGCCTTTCACAATTCCCTTGCAACAAACAAGGAGGATTCCAACTAACCAGCCGGCAAAGCAGTCATTCTCCAGATAAGACTTCTCAACTTGGTCCACAATGGCATCATTAGAGATTTTTATGAATTATACTGGGCCAAAATGCTGGCATCTTGTCTCTGCAAGGCAACCCCTCCCTCTACAGCTCAATTCCCAGTCCTGAACTAGGACAGGCATCAAGTCTCAAGACTCCCAGATGCTAAATCCAGCCTGTTCTGTCCTGGTTCCCCCTATCCACTACCCAGAGCAGCAAAGGCTCATGGGAGAGAGCAGGGCCTACAGCAGCATTGCTGTGCGGACTACGTGCATGAAGGAACATGAGGTATGTATGGACTGACAGGCTTGGCTGTCGCTGTTGCTTTTCAGTTAAGTGAAAGAAATTACCCAATGGGAATTGCATTCTGCAAAGTTTGTGCTTCTGGAAAAATCTGGTTCAGAAACGTTCAACTTCAGAACTCAATAGCTTACTGAAGAGATGACAGGGATGGGAGTTTGCAAGGCCAAGGCTCCCGTGGAGGAAGGAGCTGGGATGGACCAGGGTGCCAGAGCAGAGCGTTTGGACGCGCATGCAGGAGGAGTTAGGCGGACAGAGCGTTCCAGCGGTAAGTGATATAGACCAGTACTATAAAGAGAACATGGACAAGACAGAAGCCTATAAGGTCCCTGGAGCGGAGGGCAGAAGTTGGTTGTGGGGGTTTCTCCCCGAGTGCCAGCAGAGTGTCAACAGTCTTTCGAATGTGACGAAAATCCAACTGCAGGATGTCATACGGAGAGCAGAGGTCAGCCTAATCCCAGGGCAGCCATTAGAACAGAAAGAGACAGTGCATACAATTAACACCACACCGAAGAACAACTGGAAAGAAGCACACATTTATGGTTACTAGCAAATAGCAGGAGTCAACCCTTACTTCAAGTACAACAGTCCACGACCAAAGTAGAATCCCCCAGCGTCCCCTATGTGAACCGGACAAGGAACGCCACCCCCAGTCACACCATGGCCACTGCATGCTGTGCAATTTATACACCCGTTCTGGAATCAGAAGGGCCTTAGTAGTGAAATAGTATTAGGTGCTCAGCAGCAGCACAAAACCATGAGCGTTTCCATCAGGACAATTGAGGGCTTAAACTTACTAAAGGGAAAATACAAATCTTACAATTGAATCTTCAATCTTTTGGGGGCGGGGTTGGGATGGGGGATGGAGTCAGGGTTTCATGGTGCAGCTCAGGATGGCCTCAAATCCAGGAGCCTCCAGACTTGGCTTCCCAGGCACTGAGATTATGTAAGAGAACAGGCTAAAGGGGGCCTCTGAGGTATGCAGCAGCAAAGCTAACACGCAATAGGTTATTATCTACATCCCTTTACTAGTACGCAAGTACGGGAGGATGCCTCAGCCTGTGTTTTATCTCCAGGCAGTGTGTGTGTAATAATTCGGTGTGCAGACTTCTGAGCATCTCTCTTGGTCCAAAATTGTCAGGATGCAGTTTTTTCACACACTGAATTTCTGAACCAGGAGATTTTGTTTTGTTTTGGGTTTTTTTGTTGTTGTTTTTAAAGACAGGGTCTCACTTGCTTTGTAGAGCAAGCTAGTCTTGAATTCATAGAGATGCACCTGCCTCTGCCTCGAGTGCTGGGTTTAAAGGTATGTCTGAAACAGGATTCTAAGTCACGCAGCTCATAACGAACAACAATTATAACCTGTATACCAGTAAGAAAGAAAAGCTGTGTTTTGCTTTCAACATAAACAAAGATGGACAGTATTTGTGACATATTTCACAAATACAATTTCCAAGTGAGCAAAGCATTTAAAATACCTATTACATGTTCGTATATACCTTGCTGGAGTGATTAGCCTTTTATTGTGGCTTCCTTGATAAGTACACCAATCCCAACTGAAAGGCTATTCAAGGGCTCATCTTGCCTGTATGCTCAGAGTTGAGCCTGATACGCTCAGGTAAGATACCAGGTGGGCTGATGATGATGGGAACCCCTTACGATGACGGAGATGCTCTTAACATAAGGTATTTGAAAGATTTATTTGAATGTTATATGTGTCTGTATGTACCCTGAGCGTATGTGTTCATGTGTAGTATCCACCAGAGGCCCTGGATGACCTGGAGGAGGATTTACAGACTGCCCTGAGCTGTCCTTCATGAGTGCTGGGAGCAGAACTCCTGTCCTCCTGAAGAGTCGCAAGTTCTCTTAAGCAATAAGCCATCTCTCCAGGCCCAGCAAAAGAGATTTTAAGAATAACAAATCATGTTAAATCCACCCAATCTCCCATGTTTTCTCAGTGGATCTAAGAATCAAGATAGCATGAAGAGTCCTCCCAAGAATTAAAACAGCCACATGTAAACTAGATCTTCCTGGGGGAGAGACGCTGGCTAGGACCTAATCGATGAGAATTCTCTCCTTCCCATAGAGAAGGTTTCCACTGCAGTAAGAACATTCTAGTGCATTGCTATATCTGAGCAGTAAAGTCTGAGAAAAGTGGACATAAGACAAAGGCTTAAACACAAACTGAAATGTGACTTTCTCAGGGACCAGTAAAGTCCGAGAAAAGCAGACATAAGACAGAGGCTTAAACACAAATTGAAATGTGACTTTCTCAGGGTATCTCCATGTTAGAAGCAAATCATTCTGCCAGGGGTGGTTAAGACACAGTTATAATCCCAGCCCTAAGAGGCTGAGAGTTTGGGATCAGCTTGATATACATAACAAGATTTTGTCAAGAAAAGAAAAAAAAGAAAAGAAAACCAATCAAGAACACTAAGGGGGCACCAGAGGTCAGCTCCCCAGTAGCACTGTCAGAGGGGTCAGCCTGCCATGCAGTGCAGTTCTTAGGGTACTTCTTCAGGGGGGGTGGACAATCTCAGAAGCACACTCCGGAGAAGTAAAGGATATCTAAGCAGGTCACAGAAGCTAGACTTAATTAAAGCAGATGGGGCCTAGTGTCTCAGGCTACTATCATTTAAATTAAAAATTATGTCCTTTAAGAAAAATGGTCAGGACTAAACTAAGCCTGGTTACGAGGAAAATCACCATGACAACTGCCGTGTGCAATGTGGTGGGCATCGCAGAGCCAACAGCCAGCAGCTCCAGCCCTGGAATCGAGGCTAACCACAGAGGAGATTCCTGAGAGAACCTCCTGGGGCTTCCGGACCCTTTGGTACTTTCCCCAAATTGGCATTATTGAGAGGAATTCTGAGGTTACACTACTCTTTTATCTCTGAGAATTAAATGAGAAAACACTACATTTGCAGAGACTAAATGCTCTCATTTTTTTTTTTTTAAAGAATACTTGTAATGAGTGAAAACATTTTCAAAACAGTTAATTCACTCAGAACTCTTCTGAGGCAAATGTTGATGTAATTTCCCATTATACAGAAAGAAAAATCACAACCAGCAGACTCTAAGAAATCAGTTGAGATTAAACACAAGGATGTGACTGAAATTGTTAATCAAGATTGACTCAGACACTCCAAACACCAAGTGCTTACTAACAGGAAATAGAGAAAGATCTGGATATCTGCCTGTCTAAAAAAAAAATAAGTAAATGAAAAAAATCTTTAAGGAAATCTCACTCTGGCTTTCACTATATCCTATAACTATCTATACCAGACAGGCCTTGAACTCAGAGATCTGCCTGTCTCTACCTAAATTACTTATGAATGTTCTTTTACCATATGCTAGTTTACGTGCTTCATACATGCATATATAATGGACTTTGGTCATATTTACCCCTCCAGCTAGTCCACTTCTTCCACCCCTCTACTTTTACATGCTTATTATTACTATTGAAGCCCAGATTCTGCATATAGGAAAAAACGTGCAGTTCCATCCCTTTTCCTGCACAGTAATATTTCATTCTACTCTGTTGCTGAAGGAAACCTGCATTGTGCGGATGGTTCATCTTCTCCTTACCCACTCGTGTGTGGATGGCCATCTAGGTTGATCTCAAGCTTGCCTACTGGAAACAGTGCTTCCATGGGTGTGCTCGTACCTCTGTGAAATGCTGCCCTGGATTCCTTTAAGTGTGCACCCAGGAAAAGTACAGTTGGGTCCCATGGAAGTTTCTCAGGTTTCTGAGGAACTGCGATCTCAACTTCCATGGCTGCTGGTGTAACTTTTCCATCAACGTGGAAATACACCTTCACCAGCATTTTTGTTCATTTGGCTTTTCACTTTTTTGTTTTTGTTTCATTTTATTTGAGACAGGGTTTCTCTGTTTCTCACTGTGTAGACCAGGTTGGCCTCGAACTCACAGATCTGCCTGCCTCTGCCTCCCAAAATGCTGGGATTAAAGGCGTGCACCACCACTGCCCGGCAGTTTTCTGCTTTCCTAATGATATCCATGCTGACAGTGATAATTTGGTTTTTTAAATTCCCTAATGGCTAAGAACAATAAACGTTTTTCCAGGTATCAATTAGCCATTTGCACTTTTTCTGAGAATGGCCTCCTCCATTCATTCATTTATTCACAAAACTTCCTCCTCTCTGTTTTGTCCCTGCTGGGTTGTTTCTATATGCTGGCTCCTAACGTCTGTTGGCCGAGCTGTTGGCAAATGTTTTCTGTCCATCATGGGCGGTGAAGACCCCTTTAATCTGATGAAATCCTATTGGTCAACTGTTGCTGTCATTCCTGTTCAGCGTCACCGCCTACCCCTTCATCTTGGAAGGTTTTCCTCCAGTGCTTCCAAATTTTCATGAAGAGTTCTGATCCAATTTTAATTGACGTCTATACAGGATGAAAAGGGGGGACTCGTTTTATTCTTCCACATGCCATTGTCCATTTCTCCCTGTATTATTTGTTAAAGAGGCCATCTTTTCTACAGTGCTTGCTTTTGGTACCTCTGTTGATCATCGGATGGCTAGAGTTGCAAGGGTTTACTTCTGGGTCCTCTATCCTGTTCTCTTGGTCTTCTTCTGTGCTGATACCACACTTTGTTTTTTCCACTATAGATCTGCAGCATAGTTTGAAATGAAATTTTGTGATATACTACAGCACATTAATTTTTGTTTTGTTTTGTTTTTTTCTCTCAGGATTGCTTTGGCCTATCCAGGGCTTTTTGTGCTTCTATGCAAATTTCACAGGTATCGTTTTTTGTTACACACTAATGGAAGGTCTTTCCATTTTCTAGTATCTTCTTCAATTATTTCCAAGTTTTTGTTTTGTAGACGTCTGGCACATGCCTCCTCAGTTTGGGTATCTGAGCTGTTTCGAAGGCTGTCAATAGGGTCCACTCCCCGGTGGTTTTATAACTGCCATACAGAAAAGCTACCGAGTTTTGTGTGTCGATGTTTGCACCCTGGCACTTGGAGGAATGTGATCATCAGACCTCGGAGTTTTCTTAACTACTGTCCGGTAACAGCCACAGCATGACTTCTCTCACCTTTTCTATCACTGTTTCTCACTTACCGCTCTAGCAAAGAAGTCAAGCCCCTTAATGACAGGAGAGGAGAAAGCGGACATCAGAGCCTTGTTCCTGATTTTAGAGGACATGCTTTCAATTTGTCCCCATTCAATATATGGCCATAGGTTTATCACACACAGCCTTTATTAGGTTAACTATGATCCTTCTAACTCTAGGTTTTTGGAACTTTCATCATAAAGTGATGCTGGATTTTGTCAAAGACAAAAAATCCTCCACGGCAATGTCCTTGTCCTGGGTTTTATTTACATTCATGTTGTACTTACTGACTGCTGTATGTTGAACCACACTTGCATCCCTACAATGGAACCAATTTATCATGATTACCTGTGTAGTGCTGAATTTGTTTTACTGA